GGGGGGGGGGGGGGGGGGAAGGACGAGCTCCTGATGGTAGGAATTTGCTGATTTTATAGATAAATATGCAAGTCTCAATATATTTTGTGAAGGATTGTCTTAATAAATCATAAGACTTTGTGTTGTAAACAATTTCAAATTCATTGTAAAAAAGTTGCATTTTGCTTATCATGGATTGCATGGTTCTCATAATATGTTCACACGTTAACAGAACATTTTTCGCACAGAATAGGGTGTGGCTTTTTGGGCGTAACCCATACTCTTATAGAGAATGTCACCCACAAAACTCTTGTGTTTTGCTTGTGCTGTCTCTTTTGTCTCTTTTTGTTTTTTCTGTCTCTTTTGTGGATCTATTGACAGGACAATTGAGTCCATGGACAAACGCATTGACATGGTGATCAAGTCAAAAAGACAACGCATTAAATATTAAATTTTGTGGCAATTTAAGTGTGTAATGTCCTTTAAATGCCATTATTATCATCAGTATTTAAGCCAAGTTAAATAGGATTGAATTATATTAACTAAACTTATGTTGTTATCTGCACTGCATTATAAACTTTATAAGTAATAAACTGTTTGATAACGAACAAGTTACCAACTAGTTACCCTAAAAATCAATATAATTTTCACTACAATAGAACGAGTTACCACTTAAAAATTTAGAAAAATAAATAATTATTTTTTTCTAATTTTTTTAGTGGTAACTCGTGGTAACTTGTTATATTATAGTAAAAAGTATATTGATTTTTAGGGTAACTCGTGGGTAACTTGTGGGTAACTCGTTGGTAACTCATGCAAAACACATTCGTTCACATATTTTTGAACTGCTATATTTGTAAGACATGTTAATATACTAACTGAATATCTAACACTTTTCTGGTTCGCTATGCTTGTAAATTATATAAACTCCAAACTCGAAAAATTGAAAACATTACTTGTATTTGAAAGGAGAAAACCTCCCAATACAGTTGTTTTGTCAGAATTCAAAAGAAGTAATTTAAAAGTCATGCACAAGTTCGTGAAAACTCCTTGTGGGCTACATGACAGGGGGGGTGAATATTTTCATGAAATGTTTGTTTGCCACCACAGAAACATAACTAAATACACTATATTTATTGAATGTTTATGATTGATGATAAAAATACGCAAATATTTATTGTTTTTATCATCAATCATAAACATTCAATAAATATAGTGTATTTAGTTAGGTTTCTGTGGTGGCGAGCAAACGTTTCATGAAAATATTCACCCCCCTGTCATGTAGCCCACAAAGAGTTTTCACGAACTTGCGCGAGACTTTTAAATTACTTCTTTTGAATTCTGACAAGACAACTGTATTGGGAGGTTTTCTCCTTTCAAATACAAGTAATGTTTTCAATTTTTCGATTGGGACTATTCTACAATGAATTACTTCTGGATACTGTAATCTAAATACATAGGAAGACAAAGTGGCATTTATCAGGCAGAGAAGCGGCATGCCATTGCAATGGCGCCATATTTCACGAAATATCGAAGGACACAATATCAAAGATAAAATACACTGCACTGTTTCCAAACTTGATGAAACCTTCTTTGAAATCTTCTTCAGCCATTCATGATTATGTAAAAGTACAAAAACTGGATGATATTTGCCAGATTCGGCGATAAAAAGCAAACAAGATGGCAAAATATGGCTGAAATCGTGTTTTCGTGCGGGGTAAGTGAAATAAAATGTATTATATTTAATGAAAATAATGACAATCCTTATGAAATCCACAATAATGATATTAAATTGAACATAGTTTTTCACTCCATGACAATTTTTTTTAGGAAATAAGAAAATTTAATTTCTGCCAGGCATATTAGTTGTTTTGTGCATAATTAGCAATTTTAGCAAAATATTATACTTAGACGACTTTTTCCTTCCACTGACCACTCCTAAAACCAACCCCTCTAAACACTATAAGCAGTTCAGAAAGCCTATTGCTTTTCCTTTTCGGAAGTTAGAGCTATGTCGACACTGCCGTTTCAGGACGGGGTCATTTTCAGGATTTTCGTCCCAGATTCAGGTTTTGGCACATCGCCATGTTGACCGCCATTGTCATTTACCCTAAAACGGTTGAGATTACCTGTCCTAAATGAAGCGCATACAAACTCATATACAGGTCGTAGACTAATTATAATATGCAATGACAAGCATGCTGCATGGTGAAGAAATTCGTAGTCACGAACATTTTAATCGCCTAGTAAGTGCAACTATTATGCAACAACTGCAGAGCGATTATTACAAGTTTTCTCGATTTCCAAAGATGCAGTGTAGTTCCTTATAACAAATTTGACATAATGTTCCCTAGGTCAACTGAATGGTATTCTCAAGGTTTCATTCATTGGAACTACAGGGGGTCCAACTAAGAGCAGTGTTATGAATATGAATAAAACATATTAATGAAACGTAATATGAATAAAACATCATAACGTAATATATTTAAATTATTGCACTTACTTGTATCAATCATAAGAGCTTGTATTTGCAGTGAATAGCTTCAAACAGGGCGCTTATATATGCTCAGATTCCTCAGAAACATTGCTTCGAACGATTGTTCAAATTTGGCAAATAAATTGACAAAACGAAAATATTACATGACGTTCCAACGAAAATAACAGCAGGGATTGAGGGCGTGAGCGGAAGGCGAGGGATAATAGATATTAATAGAAGGGATGAAACACCGGTAATGCAATCGTATGATGTGTTCCATAAGTAGCCTGGTCTCTCGGAAAATTCCAAAACGCCTCTTGCCAACTCCAACAACTCCTACGCGCTTAATTAATGAAAATAAACAATGTTTAGCTATACCGGCTAATATGAAATATTTAAATGTAGCGACCAACGTTTTTTTTTTACATTATTTCGTTTTATTATTATTTAGTCATTACGTCACGAGACCAGGCTACTTTTGAAACACATCTCGCGAAAATGGCCAAGAATGCTCGCTGTTATAAATCACATAAATTAGATTGATCAGTGCCTTTTTTGGTAATGACTAGGCTTGTTCATGTAAGAGAACATCTACTGAGCCCTAAAAATACCACAAAAAGCTTAAACGGATCGGCTAGAAGCATTTTAAAAAGTCACGTGATATTTGTTTCATCCCTTCTATTTATTTCTTCCCTCGTCTTTTCGCTCGCACGCCCGCAATCCTTGCTGTTATTTTCGTTGGAACGTCATGTAATATTTTCGTTTTGTCAATTAATTCGCCATATTTGAATAATCGTTCGAAGCAAATGTTTCTGAGGCTCTGAGCATATATTAAAGCGCCCTGTTTGAAGCTATTCACTGCAAATACAAGCTCTTATGATTTATACAAGTAAGTACAATAATTTAAATATATTACGTTATATGATGTTTTATTCATATTACGTTTAATTAATATGTTTTATTCGTATTCATAACACAGCTCTTAGTTGGACCCCTGTGTTGGAACTTACCCTGATTGATGCTATCGAGGACTGAATTATCACATTCGATTGTGGGGCATTAATTAAGATCTCTCTATCATCTTTGAGATCTGCTTCATTTTTCAATTCGCATGCAGGTTTTAAACTGCTAATTTCGTAATGTATATACAGGTAATTTTTTATGCTTGTTGGGGGTATCTATTCCGTGAAAAATTAAGTTTTTAATGGCTAATTATATTTGAAGCTCTAATTAGTGGTTCATTTTCTCAACAGATTGGAAACAAACTTTGTAACCTGTATCAATACAGTATACTAACCGTTTTGTTCGTTTGTACCCAAGTTCAAGCGTCAGCATTCTCTGGACAATGCTGACGTTTATAATATTTTTCTGTTTGTCGTTCGTATTCTGCTTGGGCTGCTTCAAGGAAGGATAGTATCTAAGCCAACGGACATATTTAACAGACACGTCTGGTTTGTTGTCAGGTAGTTTCTCAGTTACCGAAATAAGTTGTGCAAATCTGGTTTCCGTTTTTATCCAGAAGCAAAGGACGAAGGTTATTTTAAGTGGAAGATTAAAGTTTGTTACGACAGAACTGTATTTGGGTTGAATTTTGGTAATTGGCGGTTTCTTAGTTGTCGTAACATAAGGTCTAGATTGGGTAAACTTATCTGGTCTTTGTTTACGAGCTAGCCAAGATTTACGTTTAGGAGCTGGTACACGGCGGATTTTAAATCTTCCAGGAATAGCGTCTTCTTGCAACGATATTTCACGTTTTCTTCTACCAACAGCATTGCCAGCACCAAAACTAACTCCTCTTATTGCATTTCCTGATGAAGTAAGAAAGCACAAAGTTCTAGTAAATGTTTACTTATAACTGCACATTCAAAAAGCAATTGGGGTCTGCCAGTTCGGACTTCGGAACCTGATTGAAACCACATTGATTTTTACGGCCGACGCACTTTGTTACTGTGCAAATTGGTTCTCGCTGCTTAATGAAGTTAGTTGAACAGTGTATGATGCAAAACGATGTAAATAATTAATATTCTTCTGGGGTGGGTTGTACGAAGGCCGGATAGTGCTATCTACTGGATAGTGATTTTTTCAAGCTTTGTTAAATCAGTCGTTGATTGGTGTAACTCGTATTAAAGTTTAGTATTTATAAGTTATATGTTTTTTTACTACTTCTTATGTCGTCTATATCCGTAGTTTCACTGTTTTTCAAGCATTTTTTCAAAGGTTGAAAAAATCACTATTCGGTGGATAGTGCTATCCAGCCTTCGTACAACCGGCCCCTGGTTTTATTCCTTAACACCTGAAAATTATATTTTAGTTGAAAATTTGAAATTAGCCAGCAATGGATGGCATGGCTGCACTCTATCACGGATGAAGTATATTCTTACTTAATCTATGACTCTATCAAGTTGCCATTGCTACAATACATAAACACACCAAAAATTATTTAAAGAAACGTCATCAAGTTTAGATTAGTGTCAGATTAAGTTTAGATTAGGTTTAAATTCATATTATATTAGGGTTAGGAGTTAGAGGTGGGGTTATTTTAGGGTTATAGGTTCATCTATCCGAATAAATTATTGCGCGAAATTGTATATTGCATTGATAATTTCGTACGTGTTTGGCAATTTATTCATATAGTAAATTTGAAAGTGGAGCTCATGCTGATTTAATTAGACCTAACTAGGAGCAGTTGCGAAAAATGCATCTGTAGGTCCTTGGCAGGAATTGAACCTGTAGCCCTACGATCTCGGGCAACTGTTCATGGTTAGTATTATTTATCTATCCTAATTAGTATTCTTTAAAGAATACTAATGAGGTGGCATCTATTCTAGACGCGTCTGAAGCTATTCAGACACTAGCTTGTAGTCGTGTTTTATAATATCTAAAATGCTCGTGCTCCGCACTCGCATTTTAAATATGACAAAACACTCCTATACGTGTTTTAAATAGAACACAAATGTTGACTCGATATTTTCCATCTACAAGGCCATTCAACTATTATTAAATCAAGTGAAATGCCAACAAAGTCTTCATATAATTACTTAATCACGATCGAGATTTATCATGACTTATTATGTTTACTTAATTTTGCATGTCTACGGACTTATAACATCTTTCTTACTGGTACTGTAGTTTTGTAACTTTATCTCGGCATGCGTAACTGCTATTCCAACAATGACTAAATATTGGCTGGAACCTGCTAACAGAATAAGAATGGATTTTCCATTAATTTCGTTTTTATTATTGTGTTTAAACCAATTTAAATATGAGTTGATAATTCATATAAAATAAAACATGTGTTCGTGCGCCGCTCATTCAGGGATGTTATTCCGCCTGCTGATCGTTTATTAGCAGTGGACATGCGCTCATCCGTTCTCCCAAGTAGGTACTTTGTAGGAATCAACAGGAGAGGAAGCGACTTCTATCAGTGTTTCCATGCCTAGTACGTCTTTGCACTGTCCAACGAGGACTGATCCGCAGGTCGCAAACATACACTTACCCGGGTCAATGGTAAGGAATAGTTGATTTGGTTGGCGATAAGCTTTATTGACGATTTGCTGCAACACTGCCGTTCCACTGCCATCACAAGATAAGTAATACCCTCTGAATTTGACAGATTGAAATACTGTAAACAGACGATGTTCATAGAGAAGTCTTTCTGGTGCCCAGGTGTTCCTGTTATCTGTTTCTTGTTCCCCTTGACTCGCAGGCTAAATTTAAAAAAATAATTGAAATTTGAGTGAATATTGTTCAACTTTTGGGGCTGGTTGTTCAATGCTGAACTATTTCTTGCCCTGGGTTAAAATTTAACCCGCCGGTGTAGTTTGTGTATTTCTCATGTAGCCGCTTAATTGAGAACTTTTTTTTTCAATCTTATTAAAAATATAATAATCAGTACAGACATTAGACATTAATGAGACAAGGCCGCCAATAGCTACAGTACAAAGCTATAGTCGAGGCGTACTTGTCTATGGTACACGCAAAAAGTAAATAAATATAATATTTACAAATACGTTATTAATTATTCAGCAAAGAATGCATATAATATGAAATGATTTTCAAATTAGCTACATCTAATAAAAACGTTTTTAGAAAGGAGAGAAACAATATCTATCAAGAAATGGGAAAAAAGTTGGAGTTAGTGCTTCAATTTGAGGCTTCATTGCATGCATGATCTTTTTTAAATTTTAGATCTTTAAAGCGACTTTATATCGGGCTAAATATTTTCATTCTGTAGAATGTCCAAAAGGATACTACGTATCTTTTTCTTAAATGCTTTTTTTGGCAATTCTCGTATGCAAGATGGTATCTCATTCCACCAGTTCGCACCAACATGGGTAAAAACTTTCGTCGAATTTCTAGTTTCGATTGTTTCTAGTTTCGATTGTTTCGAAGATTACGGTAGGCTATTCTGAAAGATTTTCGCGGTTGCAGAGCTGGGGAGGCAGTCAATTCACAACACAATGGCACGTTAAACATTCAAGTCATTCGCAGAATTTGCATACCAAATTCAAGTTCAAAGAAAAAGACAAAACCCGCAAATAACTTTGATTGTCGCCAAAGGGTCTTAGTCCCTGTAAATATAATAGAATCTACACCTAAAACCGAGGCCCTCAACCTTGTGTGTACCAACGTTTTTGCTTTCGAATGTAATGTCTCTTTCGCCGAAGATAGATGAGCTTCGTGCAACTGTTAGCCATGCATATCTAGACTTTGTTTGCATCACTGAAACTTGGTTAAAAGATAATATTGATAGCCATGTAGTAGGTATTGCTGGCTATAACATTGTGCGGCTGGGCAGGAAAGTAATAAGTCACGGAGGTGTTTGTATGAATGTTCGAGATTCTGTGCGATACATGTTTTATTCGATCTTATGGACTAGAACTTTGAAGTTTTGTGGGTTAAAATCCGCACTGATCGCCTCCCCAGGGGAATACCATCCATTGTTATTGGAACTGTTTATCACCTACCAAGCGCTAACGATTCTTTGATCCAAAATTATCTGTACGAGTCACTATCTAAGATCGAAGGTCGCTTTCCTGACTGTGGCGTGGTCTTACTTGGAGACTTCAACAAGTTGAATGTCTCCCGTATAGAAATGCGTACGGACTTAAACAAATTGTCCAGTTTCCGACCTGGGGACAAAGCAAGTTGGACCTTGTTTACACAAATCTCAGTGCATTTTATGACGTATCAAAGTTGCCACCATTTGGGATGTCTGATCATGATACTGTCGAGGATCAACCCCTTGCTAGACTGGCCTACCCGCGTTGTAAACTACTGCTTAAGTCAAGAGATCTAAGGATGACTAAGCGCCTAGCCATGCGTAAATGCCTCGACGAAGTTGACCTTAACCAACGGACCTTAACCTACGGACTCGTGGGACCTTAACCTACGGACTCGTATGAGGACAAAACGAAGACCTTAGAAATGATAAGACAGGCATGGACATTTTACTTCCATTAGAGTCCAAAAAAGTGATTGTCAACGAATCTCCATGGATAAACGATCATCTCAAATCCCTGATACATAAGCGTCAAGTTGCTCTTGCTCAACTTCCGTCGCCTCAGAAATCGTGTGACTCGCTTGCGTAAGTCATGTCGGACCAAATAATACGTGTCTAAAGTGGAAAATCTAAGGGACTGTGATCCTCGTAGGTGGTGGAAAGAGGTGAAGTCATTTTGTAGAATGCAGTCAGCTACTGGCACAGAACCAACATCGTTCCTGAAACACATCGACGTGGGACGAAATTCTAGTTTCAAAAAACCTTGCTAACATCATAATACATTTTTAGCACCCATGGATTCGTTTACTCCCCTGGCTCCTTCTTGGCCCCCTGATGTCCATATTGACAACTCGCCCTCCGTTACCGAATATTGTTTGAGAAATTTGCATTACACAACCCTCATAAAGCTTCAGGCCCACACAACGTGCCCGCATGGCTGTTAAAAGAGAACGCTGACATTCTGGCTCCCGTCGTGACTGATATTCTCAATTCATTGTATTCGGAGGCACGGTTTCCAAATTCTTGGAAACAGGCTGACATAACACCTATCCCCAAATCAACACCTGTTTATGACATCAACAAGCACCTGAAGGCAATCTCTCAAACACCCATCTTATCTAAATTGGCCGAGGAGTTTGTACTCGACTAAAACGTTAAACCAGCTTTGCTAGCAAAGGTCGACCCAATGCAATTTGGTACTGTTCCTGGCTCAAGTACTATACACAAGCTTTTGTTAGCATGTTCATACTTGGACGAACGCCACAGATGGTAACGGGGCCACTGTAACTGTTGTTCTGTTCGATTTCAAGAAAGCATTCGATCTCATTGACCAACACATACAAATCAGGAAACTGCACTCATACGACATCTCTGATGCAGTTATCTCATGGATTACGGATTTCCTTGCTTCAAGGAAACAGCGAGTGAAACTTGTTCAGAACTGCTTTTCCGAGTGGGGCATGGTGCCAGCAGGGGTCCCTCAAGGCACAAAACTGGGTCCGTGGCCATTTATTGTGATGATTGATGAGCTTGACATCCCCAACACAGAATTGTGGAAATATGTCGATGATACTACGACGTCAGAGACGGTAGAAAGGAATCAAAACAGTAACATCCAAACGGCTGTAGATACCCTAGTGAACTGCGCAGCCACAGACAAGTTCCAGCTTAATGAAGAAAAATGTAAAGAACTGCGTATTTGTTTCAGCACTAAGAACAAACAAATTTTCGATCCCATTGTTATTAATGACAATCCTATTGATATTGTAACTGACGCCAAGATTCTCGGACTTAATGTATCTTATAACCTTAAGTGGAATGGTCACATCGATGTGGTTATGAAGAAAGCTCTGAAACGTCTGTACAGCCTATCTCAACTCAAACGGTCGGGCCTGGGAATTACTGAGCTAGTTCAATTTTATTGTAGCTACATGCATCCATCCTATTACAGAGTACGCGTGTCCAGTTTTTCACGACAGCATTCCGGCCTATCTTGCTCAGGAGCTCGAAAGTGATCAAAAGCGTGCCATGCGGATAATTTCTCCTTTCCGCCCATACAATCAAGTGCTACACGAGTCTGGTCTAATTAGACTATCCGAAAGACGTCAAGTCATGGTGGACAGCTTGTTCAATAAAATAACCGAAAACAAAGAGGACAAACTGCACCATCTGCTTCGCGCACGCAACCCATCAAACTGGAACCTTAGATACCAGCGTACATTTAGACCCACCTTTAAAACAAATCGATTTCGTAATAGTTTTACAACCTTTAACGCCCTTAAGGCCTCAGGCTGAAACGCTTTAAATTTTAGTGCATAGTATTTTTTAAATTTAATGTAAAAAATGTTGTAATTCAATCTTGTGGTTGCAAAGAAATTATGAATAAATGATCTATCTATCCATCTATCCATCTATTTTAATATAAAAATTATTTGATTTTGAAGAACGTGTAATATAAGAATGAATATCGGACGTATTCTGAAAAAGGATTGTATATCTTTTTTCTATTATTTCACAAAAAGATAAAACGCCTATTCATCCAGACTAGATTTCTGAAGAAATATTTCCAAGTTAATAAACAAGCTATTTGGATAAACAAGCTTGTTTTGAATTTTAGGTTAATTTTAACCTTGTGTTATAGCTGAACTAGGTTTTGAACAACCGACCCTGTATTATATTTTTGTAAATATTCATTTCAAATTAGCCTTTCTTACAGCCGATTTTCCCACCATTTTTGGGATACTGCCTCTCTCACGTTTGAGAGTCGTCGCTCCACGAAATACGACTTTTCACCCTTATAGTTATAACTTATAGTCTTACAACTACAACTTCAAAAACTCTATAGTCTAGAAACTTTCACGATGGCAGACAGTACCAAAACATGGCTGACCATGGCCTTTGCGAGAAAGGCTAATTGAATGTCGTTGTCAAAGGAATAGTTTTCTTGACCAATGTATTCACAGGGACGTCGCGAAGCCATCAACATTGCATGGGGGGTGTCGTCATGTTTTGACCAACATTTCCTAGGATTTTGACCATTTTCCGGTCAAGATTTTGACCGGAAAATGTTGTCGACGGCGGGGGGGGGCGGGAGGGGGGGGGGATTTTTCCGGACTTAAATAAGCATAGTCGGAAAATTTTTCCGTACTAACATAAGCATATTCAAAATTTTTCCACCAAAATAATCAAGGCTTCCAATTTTTTCAACGCAAACATAACCAAAACTGCGAATCATTTCATAACTTTGAGCAACTTCGATGTTCTTTTATCCCAAACTTTGACAAAATTTTTCCTAATTGTACCTTCAATTTTAAGCAAATATCAGTTCCATTTTGACCAACTTTGGGCAAATATCACTTCCATTTTGACCAACTTTGACCAACGTTTGAATTATTGCCCCCCCCTATAGCGACGTCCCTGGTTATTCATAGGAATAACCAATTATACACAAAATCGATCAATGTGTTCAATGAGACGAAAACAAGTTAATGACAGCCATCATTAACTGTACATTACATATACCTTGATAGTAATACAATGAAATTAATAATATTTAAGAAAATAGGTGAATAATTAAAATTCCACGGGAGATTTATATGTCATCCACAGTCTGTTTACAACTGGTATAGCAGAGCTTTTTACGTCCTATGTGCAACGTTTGCATAAGAGTAAATACCCAGCAAATTGGTTCAGAACCAATGTGGAATTCTATTCAATAGAAAGCTTCTGTTTTGATCTCTTCAAGCGGATTTAAATTATACAATTGGCATTATAACGATATGCTTTCTTTGGAATAATTTATTGGAATGAATTTGTTTTGTCCGTCGTCGTCCAAACGGTAAGACTGTATTCTTTTGTATATTAAACTTAATCCTAAACTTAACCCTTACTCTAATCCTAACCCTAATCCTCGCCATTTCCACAATGCAAAGCGTAATCCTAACACTAAGCCTATCAAAATAGTAACTTCCCGTAAAACGTGACTCATATCATGTAGTATAACGAAAAGTATAGTACAGGTTTTATGCCAAGGTCCGAAGGAACAAATTACAAATGAGTTATACCATTGCCAAAAGTTGTCCACCAGTTGAAGGTGCATAAAGATGATATTCTTTGTTATTTCTGGCCAGGACAAACTGAGCTCTTGTTTCTTGAAACGTAGACCTTTCGCGTATTTTTAACAAGCCTATGATAATCAAGTAAAAGAATCAGATTGTTGGATTATCTTTTTTATTAACTATAGTTTTAATTAAGTTCCTCGTTATTTTAAGGTTTAAATTCGGACAAAATATGGATTGGGACAATATATAGCCTGAAACTTTTAAACATCGATTGGATCCTGTATGTGCATGGTTTTCTGGATGCCAAAGTGTAGCGTTGTTTAACTGCTTCTGCAGCGGTTCGTCGACGAACTTTTGATAGACTGCCGGTCGTTACGTCGACCTCGTTGATTTCAGGAAGGCTGTGCCAGTCAAACATATACGCCCAATTCAGGTTCTTTTAAAAGCCTTAACAAACGTTCACATTTTTCGCAGAGAGCGTAACATAATGAACATGAAGACTGTCGTCAACAATCTGTCCAACTCTGAATGATATACTGCAACGAATGCATGAAGGAGCTCGTTTCAAAATTTCTGTAAACACTCAACGGTGTTTGCCGAATATGCATCAAGGGTGTATCGGCGATTTGACACACAATCACAAAAGACCAATCAACAAACCCACTTTCCCTTGAAAAAATATTGTCCTCCTACATTGTCGTCTTGGGGATCCTGCGTAATTGTTGTTAATAAACAATACTGCGCAGTGAAAAAACTTATTCTTTTGCAATTGAATTTAAAACATATAGATATTAATAGATATATAGATTTATCAGTTGATTATATAGAAAAACATTACACATGGCAGTCATAGAGACTGAATTACGTAGGTATACAAGCAAGCGCGTAGCCAGGGGGGGGATGGGACCTGCCCCCCCCCACACACTTTTTGTAATGATCAATATTGTAATTCTTCCAAAAGTGAGAAGAAACTATGGGGGGGGGGGTTAAACTTTCTTTATGTATAAATTTCACGTGTTATATTATTAGTTTATTACGCACATGCTTTGTTAATCTCGTAAATATTTCGTCTATGGCATAAAATAGACCAAATTTGTGGCATATAGATCACCAAAACGCCATGCCAAATATGCGCTTGGGGGCGTTTCGCTAACCTTAAAATTGAAAAATTTCCGTGGACTATATCCCCGGCTTCTAGAAAAGTACTTTTATGTATTAGGTACTTTAGACCCCCTCATTCGTATAGGGCTGGCTACGCCGCTGTATACAAGTTAGCAGTATATAATATTATTATCAATATTTACATAAAATTAACATTAAAAAATTTTGACAACACGAATTTATTTTGGAACCGAAGTGTTAATAAAAGGCAATTCAAAATCTCGATGACAAAACGTGATGATGATAAAACGCGCATGGTGACAAAACCTAATCATAAACGAAACAAAAAGAAACACTTGAAGATGAATTTAAAAGAAAACTCTAATTTACAAACTTGTAAAATTGTCACTCTGTAATCCACCACCACAGTCGACTATCTTGTGATTGTTATTGGCGTTATCATTCGTTATTCTTAAATATCTGTCCCCCACACGACTCATCAGTGACCATATTCTCAATACGGAGTCTCCACAAATTAAACATGGCTGAGCCTGATTTAGCTGAGGCTCAACAACATGCGTCTGTAAACAAGTTTCAAAACAAAAATTAGAGACTTTGTTGTAAATGTACTGATATTACGAACAACTTTCTTGTTAATGCATGGGAAATTATAATTTGTCCCTTCGGGAGGCAGCAATATCACTACTGTTGCTTCCTTTCTTGTCTCCATAGGCAAGTTGGAGGCGGCTCCTTTGGGTAAGTGCCTCTTAATACAATAGTTATTTGTTTCTACAAAAAAAACTTAAGTATACTAAACTTTCCAATCAGAAGCATAAGTATTTTCAACAATTTACGTGTTGCAAGCCCGAGATGTAATACCAGACTTGTATTTACTCGTTACTTCTGTTGTTTGACTAAATGTAAGTCATGGATTACACAAACAAAGTACATTACGAAACTGCAATCTAAAGTGATTATTACGAGTGATAAAAAACATACAACATGTGATTCCTTTATGTATATGAAATGACAACGTCAAAACACTTGTGGGATAGCTACCCTCATGTTTATTTAATTAATTAAAACATGGTCATTATATTACGTTTCCAAGAAACGCCTCTATCTGCTACTTGCTAAACTACCTAGTCAATCTAATTGTTCTTCTGGATGTTGTCAAATAATCGTGGGAAGAAAGACCGTCCCACCGGCAATATAAACCACTTAACTTACCAAGGATAAGATGAAAAAGATCGGCAAATTTACCAAAACATTCATCCTGTATTTCTCTCTCCTAGACCATCTACGAAGAATCCCTGGAAATAGAACCAACAGTATGTACAATGACTAACCTAAATGGAGAAAAAAATTTGTGCATAGATGCCTTTCGACAAGGTTCGCATTGCGGATATATTTTAATCCAAAGAAGTTGGATTGTACGATTCGGTCATGCAGATTAAAACCTTCTACCAACTTTTCTGGCTTATTTTCGAGGAGCACACCATTACAATGTTCGTAGCTGCGCTGAATGATCAGTTGAAATGCATAAAATAGGAGTCGTTTATTGAATTTTGACTGCAGTAACAATTACAATATTAAAAATACCCATTAAGGAGAGGCATGCAAGCAACAGATCCAAGGTCCTAACAAGGCAAGCTTTCCTAAACAGGAGTATATTTCGTGAGTATAATTATATAAACAGAAAAGCGGCTTGACCTGTCCACTGTACGACTTTGCGGAGAGCACCGGAAAAAATTAAGAGAAATAGAATAGCAATTTAATTCCGAGAAGAAAAGCGGTAGCTTATAAAAATGCCTTGCTGATTAGGCCTATATATCATATATGAAAGTCGGTTAAGAGATTTTTCTCATTTGTACCCACGCTTTCGTAATCCGTGGGATTTGATTATTACGGGTAATATCGATCAATGCTTTCAATACTTTTTGCAACAATATTTACAGTAACAATGAAATGATACACATGCATGTATAATTGACACTTCATAAATATATATATATATATATATATATATATATATATATATATATATATATATATATATATATATATATATATATATATATATATATATATATATATATATATATATATATATATATATATATATATATATGCATGTGCGCTAAAAAAATATACATTTGAAAAGGAACCACATCAACTTGTATCACATGGATATGTCTCGAAGTACTTTTCCAGCTGTAGAATTTTTCTTACATTCTCTGTTGTTTCAAAACGAAATTATGGTGTTTTTATGAAAATGGGCAGAAATCAAGGGCTCGTGTGCTTCACAGACTTTTGGCAATTGGTAGTAATCGATCTTGAACCTTATTATCAATGTTGTAAAATAAACTTTTCACAATGTTAAGCCCTTTGTCGGCATCTAAAGTTCGAGTGGTAATGTTATTTTCCGTGACCTTTAGAAGTTATAGCTATTTCTGTAGCGACAACTGAACAAGAAATATCATGATGAAATGTGTTTTGATTCAAAATCTCTGGTGTCGAAATACAGGACGATGTCCGATTGTCCCTCCAAAAAAATATGGATTTGAAATGCAGTAAAATTTATCATGCACAAATGGCAAATTACGAATTTTATACAAATTAAAGATTGCATTTATTGTGCCCATGGAATATTTTTTTATTCATTTAGTCTAAAACGATTACATTGTTTTGAGAAGTATTAATGAACTCAATCATTTTGTTTTTTTTCTTCACAAAATGACATATATTTACATCTCCTACATACAATCCACAAAGACAATATTATCCACAAAGTTTTCTTTGTCCTGAGACGTGACATTTTCAAGTGTACAATATTCCTAATTATCATTAGCATTCAGCATTACGGATGTTTAAACTTATGGAGAGTTTTGTTTCCATGGTAAAACATATACTAGGATCGCGAATTTCAGCAATTTTTTAACAAGGTTCTTCCGATTCCTAGGGCAAACTGAAAATCATATATAGCCTAATATTAATTATCCTAATTTTTCAATTTTAGTATTTTGTACCAATAGCTATGGATAATTAAGCGAAAATATATAACGTACTGTAACGCATTTGAATGCAATTATGCTCATATAGAACAACTATGTGTTCCTCTCATAATTACAATAGGACCTCTAAAGGCTATATTTAATATAATCTATAGGAATTCTTTGTTTCTTTAGCAATGAAAGCATGCAGAAAGATTCTTTAGATTTTCTGTTCCTTTATTTAGATTTTGCATCCAATTCATGCTCTTTCTGCAATAATAGAAGTAACATTTGAATTATCTTGCATAAACCAATACGTGTAGGCCTAATATATAGATAGCTACATGACAACGGTAATGGCTATATATAAATTTATGTCAGGATTTCTTACATAAAACATATGACTTGAGATCTCGAAACTTGCTGTTTTAGTAGTCAAAATTATATTTAAATTATACCTGTTCGTAAAATCCAATGAGAAGAAGTATTTTCAATTTAATCCGTACCTTGAATTCTTAATTACTATCCAATGTCGTTTTGCTCAGACCAAGTGACGTTTACATGTACGTAAAAAAGGTGCATATTGGGGTATATGTAAACCTTCATGTTATTCCTATTTAAAGATCGTAAACGGCATTCGACGTAAAGGAACTTTTGCTCTGACTCACAACCATTTGTTGAATAATAATTCCTCTTTTTGAGAACTAATATAAACAGGCCGGCATATATGCCTATAGTATTGCAAACGTGTAAAATATATGGAAGCTATAATGTTATAATGTACAACGAACAAATAAATATAAAAATTTCATCACAATTATTAATTACATTGTTACTGGCAAATGAGATTCTATGTACTTACCCAATATGCACCTTTTGCTGGATTTATACAGCGTATTCCAACCAAATTTCCAAATGCAGTTCCTATTCGCACACAAGGCACGAAATTAATGAACTACAATGACCTTCCCAGTCACTTACGATCGTTCTTATAAGCCGTGTAATTTACATTTGAATGATTAATTTGAAACTCGTTGATGAAAGTTCTTTTTCTGTCAAAGGAAATCCCCGCCTTCGTTTCATAACCAAGGAAAAGAAAGAAAGTTTAACGCGCGTAGGAAGTCGGATATTAGAACAATGTTTAATTTGTAGTTATATATTTATAATGTAAGTTCGTGCAAAGGTTTTTGTCAGTGGGTTACTTACTTATTTCAGCGGTATTTTAATTTTTGGTGATTTGGGATTACAAATTTAGAAGATGTATCTTGATGCTGTATCCGTACCGACACTGCATGTAGCCACACTTTGCTACTTGATGTTAAAAATTACTCGATTTTATTATATATAGCCTAACAGCTAAAATAATTGGATTTGATTAACTATAACAATAGAAACATCACTGTTGTCTGGCATAGAAAACACTAAAACAGTGGATGATTAAAATCAGAATCAGGTCTGAGAAGACCATTGAAATTTGGAAGAAACAATGTGCATGTTCATCAGGAATATGATCATCAGATGGTAGCCTACATGTGTAAAATACAGAACAACTGAATTTAGTAAAATCTCAATAACAATAAGAATTCAAAGTAATTTAAGTAATAATAAGTATATAATTATAGTAAAAATCTCAATAATCACACTTTCCAAATATTGAAAACGAAAGATCTATCAACCAATTAACGACATGGTTGTGGTGTTATTTAAACTACTTTAAAGTCAAGCTGCTGTTATTTGTTTAGGTCAGAAGATAATGTAAATCTAGTGTATGCATGCATATGAACAAAAAAATTGTGTTTTGAATATAAAATAGCTAGGACTGAAAAAATAATCTGTATAGGTGGCCATGAAGAAATTTAAGCTTTATAAAAGCATATAAAGTAAAAGCATCATTAAAACAGCGATACACACATGTGTCGCATGGATCATAATAGCAAGACTTCGGTTTTATATTTTCGTAGAGATCTCACTCTAAGGAACGAAAATAATCACTGAATATATATTCTTTGCGCGGAAAACACCATGTCACATTTCCATTGAAGTGTGATTTCAAGGAGGAATAATATATAATTGAGGAGGATGGTATACATACGCCCAGTTAATAATTTAATAAAGGCATTTGGCTGTGTATATTTTTTACTATATACGCATGTAATTAAAGTACAATGCATCCAAGATAACTGTAATTGAAGTGTTAAAATGGATAACGTTTTTCAATTTAAACGACGAGGATTTAGTGCAGATGAACTACAAAATTCTAAATAACCTTCCCCTTTCGTACATATTCCCTGGCAATTACAACATACGACGTATATCCGTTTACCTGATTGACTTACAGTACTTCGTCAATCGTCGTGAAAAAGACATTCTTATAAAAGAGGCATAAAGAAAGAGACGTACAAGAAGAAAGATATAATATACAGACAAGAAGTTCATTGTTTCTTACATTCGAAATGAAATGGCCATACGCCAGGCATTGACGTTGGCACTGTATAGTAGCTATTGAC